TTGATAGGTGCAGCTCAGTCATCGATACAGTAAAACTGCTGAAAAAAAAAACACACACAATAGCTTTGTTTGCTAAAGTCTAATTCACCAAAAAACAAAACAAAACAAATAAGAACCACAGAAAAAAAATATGAGTCATTTGTAACTGTTGAATAAAAATGTGGACTAAAAGGCTGTTCACCTAATGGGATATTGTGGTGGCTATGTTCTGTTTAAAAAAATTTAATAATGACAGTTGTAGCACTTTTACCACTGTGACATGAATAAGACAAGTACAGAGTATGCAGCATGGAAAGGTTTTTGTTCWGTCCAGAATAATGGCTAGTCAAATAAAACAAGATAGAACTCAATGCCAAACATCGGCATTCAGTAATGACCAACTGTTTGTAGTTTTATTGGAATTATCACAGGCCTTCGTTATTTGAATGATCTCGTAAGGTGAACAGATGGACAGGGGGCTAAAGTGGTCTTGTCAAACTACTACATAAATGTATTGAGCAAGTCTCCCTTATGATGCACACAAAGTTTGGCGCAGATCAGATCATGTGTGGTTTAGCTAACCAGGTGGTGGTGAGAGAAGCAGGCAGCATGTGAAATCTGCATGTTAAAAGATGTAGGGGGATTTAGCTCAGACACGTGCAAGAAAAGAGAAAACTGCCAGCTTTGATGTGAAATGGCCAACTTCCAGTGGGGATTGGACCATGACTCCAAGAGACTTTTATTTAGGTTTTGAGATGTTACACATATGTACCAAATTTCATGATTACAGGTCCAAGCATGGCCTGGGGCAATTTTTTTTTTAACAATTGTAGTGGGTGCTGTGGAGTAATAAAGCCATGCCCCCCAAAATTGCACTAAATTCATGTAGTGAAGTGGTGGATTAGGATCGACCATAATGAAWTTGGTGCTGATTGGTTGAAATATGTGGAATTTAYAGCCAATGTAATGTCAACAGTGTAATGTCTAAATAGGCCACGCCCCACCAAAATTGGACTGCATCCTGTAGTGGGGTGGATTATTATTGACCATAGCAAATTGGATGCAGATTGGCTAAAAATAAGGAATTTATAGCCAAACNTATAACCTCAGTGAAGTGATTTTTAAGACACAGTTTAGTCTGTCTGTTCAGACTTCCAAGGTCTTTTGCAGATAACAACCCACAGCTGGCCGCGCCAGTGTGAGAAAAACAGATTGTTTTTCTTCTCACTCTTTTCCTCTCAAAGAACTAACTTTCTGTTCACACAGTTAACAGTTGTTCTTGTCTGTCGTTGGAGAAAGGATGGTTCTGACTGGGTCTCTCTGAGGTGTCCATCTGGACACCTGTCTGCTGGGAGTCTGATGTTACCAACCTAATTTTACTGCCGAGAAGCAAGCGACTGATACCAGCGCCGGGAGCCCGCTGAGGCTCGTTAGGGGTGAGACAAGGGCTTCTCAACCCCCTGCTGTCATGAGGACATTATCCATCCTGCGGACTTCATGAGGCTGTCACTCACAAACCGTCTACCTGCCTGTGGGCTCTGTCTGAAGACATCAAAAAGGTAGACAAATGTTTGCTGAGATAAAACGCCGAAGTCTAGCTCCGGAGGTGTCTCGTCTTGACATGCTGTGTTGCTGGTCTGGTCTTCACTTGTGGAGAACAAGTGCTAAACTCACTAATTTCTTTTCCTCCTATCCTTAAAGCTTAAATCTTTATCTGAACACAAATGGTGCTTTCTTACATGATACATTCCTGTAGGTTTATGTCAATACATCAGAATATTGTGCACAAGTAACATATGATAATCATTAATCCTAATTTATTTTAAACTTCTGTTGGTTTGGTTGATAGTTAACAACAACTAAAAACAGTAGCAAACCACAGTTTGTGTTACTGACAGCCTTGACTGTCAACAAATGTTTAGGTTCTGTTAAAAACTCCTTCATCTTCATGATACAGGTCAGGTCTGACACGTCTGTGAACTGACTGCTGCTTCCTTTGTCTTCAGCCTGGGTCTGAGTTTGTACAAAATGATTTCTGTTCAGTGGTTTTTCTTCTGTAGACATTTGACTTCCATCATGAGCACCTGACTGACAGCTGCCAACTGTCCTCTTCAAAAGATGACACATAAAAACAGGTGTAACTGGTTTACAGCCAGGCTGCTGGTCACCTCTGTTAATAACACAATTCTCAACCAGAAAGACATGCTGGGTTTTCAATCATAAAACAATGTAAAATTAGGAATAAAACCACTGGTGAAGAGTGATTCTGTAATTTCATCTACAGAGTGAATTATTTCTTTAATGACCTTCTTGTACAAAGTGTGCAGTGATCTGATCTCATTAATCAGGTTTAACTGAGAAAATCCTGAGCTTTTTAATCCCACACTTACAGTGTGTGTGTGTGTGTGTGTGTGTGTGTGTGTGTGTGTGTGTGTGTGTGTGTGTGTGTGTGTGTGTGTGTG